TTCTCCTAAAATTGAATTGACTACACTTTTAATATTAACTTTTTTTTCATCCATTGTCCTTGTGGCCAAAACAAATGTTTTTAATTAAAAATCCTTAATGATAATATGTACTGTAATGGTTAAAAAACTTATATTTTTATAGTCATCCGTCCAAATATCAGTGATTATGAAAAAGTAATTATTATTGATCATGCTTTTAATCTTAAATTTTATTTCATGGTATATTTTTGGACCTATAGTATTCATGAGAGTTTTTCGGTTCACAACTTTTATATTATGTTATCCATAGTAACACCAACATTTATCTTTTGGCCTAGCTTGTAAAATCCTTCACTTTCTAATGCATTTAAAGATTGAAGATCTTTACAAATAAAATATAACTGACTTTTCTGTAAAAAATTTAAGCAAATTTAGCATAAAGTCTCGCGATAAAAAACACCTAAGCATAAAAAGAAAATAGAACTAACGAAATGTTACCGGATGTTGTTTATAAAATGCGGAAGATTTTTAGTTTTCATAAATTATTCTTTTTTAAAAAAGAACTAAATTAAATAAGAAAATATATAATATAATTATAAAATTGCAAATTTATTATAATTCATAGGAAATTTATGTTCACGCCAGATCACGCCCGGGGAAAATTTTGGGAAGGCCCGTCACGCCTTGGAATTTAAAATTTATTCACACTCACGCCGTGACCCATTCATGGCTCGCGCCCACCTCTAGTTCCAACCACACCACAAAAATTCAAAATTAGATGAAATAACAACCAATTAAAGGATATGTAACATATTTTTAGATAATGAATGGTGGGTGACATATATTCTAGCGATTATTAGTGCTGATAAAGCAGGGACCCGGAGTGAACCGTAACGAACCGTTAAACCATAAACCGTTTTAAATATCAGAACTGTAACCGACCCGATATAATTATTTTATGAAGGAGTAAAAAGAACCTTTATAAAAAACGTCCGGTTTAAACCAGTACAGTTTTTATATTTTAGGAATCAAAAAAAATTGAATATCCAGAATTATATAAACTTGATCTTATAGTACTGGTGGTTCCCGTAACACAAGTTTTTGTAGAAAGGGCCTTTTCGGGGATAAATAATTCATAGATGCTTATAATAAAAATAAATTAGACGTTGGTGTTGCTTCAATAAAAAAAAAATTCTAACCGTAATTAACCATTATGAACCTTCATAATTAGCTGAACCGAACCTTTGTAAATTTTTTCTTAAGAACCGTAACCAAAACGTGATTATTATAATTTTTTACATACTGAACCGTAACCAAACTGACCCGTTATAAATAACGGTTCGGGTCCCTGTGATAAAGTAATGGTAATATTTTACACCATAATAAAACTAAGTCCCATTTTTATCTTTCAATGCCTAATATTCTTATTCTTACGAAAAATGATATTCTAATTGTCGTCAACCTTTTGACCACTACAGAAAGCACTTATAATTTAATTAGTGAAGAAACCGAAATGGCCATATACAAAGTAAATTTAAGGAAATCCATTTAACTAAGCCTCTATACTATAAGTAATTTTAGTATGAATTAATTCAATAAATATTATCGAATAAATAAAAACTTCAACAAAAATTAAGTTTTTTACTATCTTAAATTAATTGGGCTATCTAGCGGAAAATTTATTTCTATGCCAAAATGCGATTTTATCGAATAAATATGTTATTATGGAATATAAAAAAATGTTAACTTATATTTTCAAAAATTAAGTTTTAAGCTATTTTAAATTATTAACGCCATCTATGTTGTAGCAGTTAGAAAAAAGAAGAAATAAATTTAATATAATATACTAAATGTCGGTCATTTTTTGACATGAGGAATTAATTTTCCTTGGGGGAAGAAGGAAGAATGGGAGATCAGAAGATGCCAGCTGGGAAAGAACAAAGAATATTGGGATTTGAACTATTTTTATGAATATGAAACATTTATAAATTATTTTGATGTGAACATAAATAAAATATGGTATAACATGAAATTAAACAATGTGGTTGTCCTAGTTGTTAATGTTTATTGTTGGTATTTATTTATTTATTAGAAAAGGATTGTTTGGGATTGATAAGTTATATTTTTTAAAGGGAAGGGTTGAGAGTAAGGGGCATTCTTCTATGTTTACCGCGAACCAGGATCGACAACATAAGGGTTTCGGTACATAAGGCAAGTATTAACCACTATACAGGACAGAGGTGAGATTAAGGAAGTTTAGAATTTTGTTGTAGATGTTTAGCAAATTAATAACAAGATAGAAAGTATGTAATGAGTATTAGGCTTGAAAATAAAATCATGAATTTAAGATAGTAATTTATATATTATCTTAAAAATAAACTTGGTTAAGAATTAATGATATTTGTTATATTATATGTCTAGATGTATATTGTACATCCAATTTTAACAGTAGGTATGATCTTATTATTTGGTAGGCCTTAAGACTCATTGAATGGTGTTATAGGTATTTCGTCATAGGAAAATCAGACCTCAAGATATGCAGGACAGAAAGGATTGCTTAATATTTAAATATTGGGGATTTATGAAAATATATATAGAAGTGGATTTTTGGATGGACATGTGTGGGATGGTTTATTATTAATTAATGTTACTGTATTGTATATGTAATCCAGTTTCAATTACGGTTGATATATTATTTTAATCATTTTTATGAAATATGGTGTAATGTGAATTACACATATGTTTTATTTAATTATTTTTGATTTAAGGTATGAATTTAATTATATAAATTTGGCATGGATTTATATGATATATGGGCAAAATATGTATTTGGCATATATATAAATTTGTATGGATTTATATGATATATGGGCAATATATAAATTTGGTATGAATGTATATGATATATTGGTATAAATTTGATATATATATAAATTTGGTATGAATTTATATGATATATTGGTATGTTTGATATATATATAAATTTGGTATGAATTTATGATATATTGGTATAAGTTTGATATATATATAAATTTGGTATGAATTTATATGATATATTGGTATAAGTTTGATATTGTTGATATATATATAAATGTGACATGTATTTATATGATATATTGGTAGAAATTATGGGACTTAGTTTTTTTTTAAATTATGAAATCTTTATATTTAATATATTTTGTTTTAAAATTATAAAATTTTATAAAAATTTTATTTGCATGTATTATACTAAAAGGAAAATATTTTCATAGATAAGGTCAGCCGTGTGTTGATGGGTAGGCCTTAAGATGGAAATATTGTTTAGTAAAAATACTTGGGAAAGTTTTTTTTTTAAAATTTATTTTGTGTATTACATTTTTGTTTATCTTTGCAATAATTTTATAGCACATCACATCACAATATGAACATGTTTTTTTAAAACATTATGAACATGTTTTTTTAAAAAAAAAGAAAAGACTCAAATTATTTTATATTATGAATGTATATTAAAAATTCTTTACATACCATATATCCCATTATATTCTCAATTTTTGTTACTACATTCTACATTTCTGTGAATTTGTGCTAATTGTGATGACAGAGTTAGGTGGAAATGGTATATTTTTCTTAGGATACTGAGTAATTCCTAGATGGAAAATATTGTATTTTCTACGTATTATATATTTTTCCTCCCTATAAAATATTAAATTTATTTTTATACATGTTCCTTGTAATTTTATTTAAAATCTTTGTTCGGTAAATTTTCGCAATTATTTTTAATACCTAAAAATGGATTCTTCTATTTATTTTAGGAGATATTTATAAAAAATGTAGCTTTGATTTTTTTTACATGACATAAGGAAAATTACATGTGTTGAAATTGCATTTCACACTATTTTTATGAATATGAAACATTTATAAATTATTTTGATGTGAACATAAATAAAATATGGTATAACATGAAATTAAACAATGTGGTTGTCCTAGTTGGTAATGTTTATTGTTGGTATTTATTTAATTATTAGAAAAGGATTGTTTGGGATTGATAAGTTATATTTTTTAAAGGGAAGGGTTGAGAGTAAGGGGCATTCTTCTATAATCTAGAGGTAATTTTATAAGAATTCTTCCTAATTAATTTTTTGGGGCCACTTTGAAAATTATTATATGAACAGTTTTTGGTACTCCTTACAAAATATCTGAAATTTAGAAAAAAAAATTTAGTCTAACATTTTAAAAAATTCATTACAAATTTTTAACCGCATTTTAAAGAAAAAATATATACTAAAAAATAAATTTATTCAAAATACGCACAAGAGTTTACTCAGGGCTATAAATCGAGCCACATAGATATATATATAAGTATATATATAGTGCATCTAATATTAAAGTTATCCCAATTTTAAAAAATCATTTTTTTCGAAAAATGGCAAAGCAGACCCACTTTAAGATCCTATATCTCCGGTTAGCATAGTTAATGGACTAATATTTTGGATTCTTCAATTATAATACTTACCAAATTTTAACAAAATCTGAGATTGTTGGGTTGTAAAGTGATTGATTTGATATGGAATGACCGTGGGGCTTTGCAAATCTCGAATTATTATATCATATTAAAAAAGAAATTATATCCAAAATTCCTTTAAAAAAATTATGAGATTTTGTAAAAATGTATTTTAAAAAATTATTAATAAAAAAAAAGCCAAAATTTTTAAGCATTTTTTAAAATTAATGTAAACCGAATAAACGTAACGTAATATATATCACTATAAATAAGAGTGTGTAAAAAAATCTTCAAAATAAAAATTGGAGTAAAAAAATCTTTGAATATTAAATTTTAATCAAATTTTAGCTTTAAAAATGCCAAATTCTTTTATAAATAAATCTTTCAAGATGAAATAAAAATTTTAAAAAAGCAAATTTTTTTCCCAAAGTCTGCTATAAATAATAATGTTTAGAAGATCATATCCATTATATATTAAAATTGTTAAAAAGGCAAAGAATATATATTTTTTAAAAAAATAATAATTAATAAAATATAGAACTTGGTAATTCATTGCACAATTCGACGATATTGGTAGAAATTTTTTTCTCCATAATCATCTCGTATTTTTGTCGTTTGTTGACCGCTTTTAGGCCCTGCCAAGGTAAGAAACCTTTGATGAAGTAAAGTAGCACGTAACCTAGAGATTCCATATCATCTCTTCGACTTTGTTCTAGATTTTTTTTCAAAATAATGTGAGTTAGGTAATTTAATATATTTTTCGTTTAAGCCAATTTTAAGCCGACCGAAAGCTATCATTTTGACCTAGGGGTTTTTTTTATAAAAAGATAGCAGCTTAAATTTGGAAGAAACAAATATAAATTAAAACGCCTTAATATTAAGGGATTTTCTATAGCAAACGCCTGAAGATTGAGTCGAATTAGCCGACATTTAGCCATTACCCAACTATAGTTCTTAGGAATAATTTATTTTTTTTAAAAAATGATAAAAGTCGATTTGAAATAGGGAGAAATTATTCGTGTTTATATGGTTTTCCATTAATAAAAAAAAAGTCAATCAAAAAAAAGTTAAGATCCCACAAGAATATAGAGACCTTGCGCCAAGCCGACTAGTGACCCATAGGCTGGGTATAGGCCTAATATTATATTTTTTAGCGGGCTTGGGTTTTTGAAATTTTTTTAATGGGCCTAGCCCTGAAAAAGTATTTATTTAAATTTGGCTTATTAAATATGGGCCAGGTAAAAAACTTTTTACGATGGACCTGGTCCGGGCTCGATCAAAAAATCCAGGCCTATGAAAGTCTCCGCAAGAAACGGATCAATGAAAAAAAAAATCGCTTTTGAAACTTGAATCTCTTTTTAATTTTATGTCATTTTTAAACCTATCTTTGTCATCTATTCTGGTATCCCGTCTTTACAGAGAATCTTTTATAGAGAATGCAAATATAGAGAAACCTTTATAGAGAAAACAATTGGTCGTTTATAAAGAATATCGTTTATAGAGAATGATTTTATAGAGAATTTATTTTGTAGAGAAACTTTTAAAGAGAAAACAATTATGGAGAATGTCGTTATTAGAGAATTTCATTTATAGAGAATGATTTTGTAGAGAATCTCGTTTATAGAGAATGATTTTGTAGAGAATCTCGTTTATAGAGAATGATTTTATAGAGAATTTATTTTATAGAGAAACTTTTAAAGAGAAAACAATTATAGAGAATGTCGTTTATAGAGAATCTAATTTACAGAGAATGATTTTATAGAGAATCTCTTTTATAGAGAATGATTTTCTAGAGAATATTTTTGCAGAGAATTGTAGGTCCGAAAATAATTGTATCTGAATTTACAAAATGATAGTTCAAACTCTTACCTAAAAATTATACATCGACAAAATTTAAAATAATACACCTTTTTCTCTAAATTGATTTTAGTAAAATGAAAATTTCTTATTACAAGCCGTAAACTCCTTATCAGTTTAGAGAAAGATGAATCAAAAAGTTTAAAATGTTTTTTATAGGTTTTTTGCACTTGTTAAACATAACGGAATTCCAAATACAAACTACCCCTTTTAATTTCAATGTCTAACTTGAATTATAACCCCTTACCCTGTGGTAAAAGGTCCTGTTTAACATTGTTTGAATGGTTAAGTGTCCTTTTATTATTGGTAGATAGATCTGGTTATAAGCAAGTATAATTATCATTAATATTTAAATTTTTTCGTGTCATTAGGACTAATTATTTATTCAAACTTTTCTGTTGAAAGGGGGGGGGGTGTTTTTTTCAAATCCCGCATAAAATTTTTGAACTCTATAATTGTCCCATATATAATATTTCTCTATAAACCAAGATTTACAAATAATTCTCTACAAAATAATTCTCTACAATGTAATTTTCTACAATATAATTCTCCACAAAATAATTCTCTTTAAAATCATTCTCTATATACAACTTTCTCTATAAAATCATTCTCTTTGAAGTCATTCTCTATAAAGGACATTCTCTATAAAATAATTCTCTTTAAAATCATTCTCTATAAATTACATTCTCTATAAATTACATTCTCTATAAAACCATTCTCTATAAAACCATTCTCTATAAAACCATTCTCTATAAAACCATTCTCTATAAACGGCATTCTCTATAAAATCATTCTCTATAAAATCATTCTCTATAAAATCATTCTCTATAAAATCATTCTCTATAAAATCATTCTCTATAAATTAATTCTCTATAAAAATTATTCTCTATATAAAACATTCTCTATAAAACATTCTCTATAAACTACATTCTCTATAAAAATTATTCTCTATATAAAACATTCTCTATAAACTACATTCTCTATAAAACAATTCTCTATAAATGCATTCTCTATAATTGTTTTCTCTATAAATGTTTCTCTATAAAATACATTCTCTATAAAATACATTCTCAATAATGGTTTCTCTATAAAGACGTGAAACCATCTATTCTCTATACTTTTCTTTTACTCATTTCGTTTGTATTATATCTTTTTTATTGCTTTTTCTATAATAATTTCTATAATATCCCCTAACATCTTTACTTCGATTCTCTAATTATTTTTTGTCATTTTTAGCCATTCTCCCCTACCCCCTTTATTATTTTTTTAAAAAAACCTTTATCTTATTACAATTGCGGCAAGTAATAAATTGTCATTCTAAAAGTAATAAAATTTTAACTACGATATCAAATGACAAGAATTGTTATATATCAAGGTTTAGACCAACTTACTTCATAAAAAAACATGAATCGTGAGCTCTCCTTGGTTCCAGACCAACGTCTAAATAAATTATCAAATATAATTTAGACACCTTGCAGATCAGAAACCCGGACAGGAAATGGATCGAAAAATTTTTTAAAAAAATCCACGGCTAATTTAAAAATAAAAAATTTCAAGTGCCAGTCAATTTTTTTAAAAACCTGAGGGGGGGGGCTATGTTTTTTTCCCTGCAGTTGTAATGAGATAAGAGAAGAAGGGAAAAGGAATGATTTTTAAAAAAATTTTTATAGAAAAAAGGAAAATTAAAGATTAAATCAAAAATGAAGAAAATTAAGCGAAGATACGAAAATAGATATGAAAGATGACATAAAATTAGAAAGATTCGCAAAAAGTAAGAAACAACTAAGAAAGAAGAAAATTAGAAATAAAAATTGCATTTTAGAAATAAAGACAATAAAAAATTTTTGTAAAAATATATAAAAAAATAAAATAAATAACGATTTTTTTTCGATGAATCTCTTCCTTTTCTTGTGAAACTATTCCTTATTTAATAAAGAACTTTCTTTTTTTGATCATAATTTTTCCTTTTTTTAAATGGTAAACCTGTAAATCACTTATATCCTTCTGTAAAAATTAGTGAAAGGCAAATGACATAGCACACAATATGACAAAGGCTATATCAGAGCGTTCTCGCAATTAAAAAATGAAGCATTTGGTAGACATTAAAAAAAATATAAACTATAAATATAAAATTATAAATTACACAATGTCATTTTAAATATTATAAAAACTAGAGGGCCTGCAAAATCGAAATTTTTCCGCCCGAGACGGTCAGCGGCGATGTAATTTTTTTTAAGATTTAGGTCCAGTCCGTGGCGCGTTTTTAAAAAAGAGTTTTATAGCTAAGAAATCACGAGATATTTATTTTATTCTCTATTTTTGTAATATTATGCATTTGATTTATTTCGGCAAATAACTTTTGATAATTTAATGTTTATCTCTTTTATTCAATTTTATACAAAAATATGTAAATAAATTTGAAAAAAAAATGAATAGTAAACATTACCCAACTTCTGACTTTCAAAAAAGGGAAGAGTAGGAATAGCATTGATATTTTTGCGGGCCTAAAATTTTATTAAGGATGCTACCGCTGGCCTACGCAGGTCTAATATATGTTATTCCATCATTTTTAACAAATCGTCGCCTGAGAATTAAGTTATTCTATATCCTTTTCATCAAAAATGACTTTTTTTACCACTTCTATTTACATTAAAAAATTCGAAATATTTATAAAATAACTCAAATAAAATCCGATACAAGGTTAGCCATCGTACTGAAATCAATAGCAAATTAATTTTTTAAATTAATTACAAAAAGTGGAGATAGAATATTCTAATTCACAAGCGACGATATAATGCATTTGATAAAATGATTCATTTTAACAGATGTATTAATTTCGAGAGGATTGATTTTAGTTTATTACGTTTAAAAAAAATTGTAAAGATAATTCATTTTATTTTTATTATTCGTGAACATTTTATATTTTAATTTTTTTAAAAAGGATAGAAAAATTTTTAAAAAGCTTCATAGTAAATTATTTAAATTACAGAGGCGATACTCTTAAATTTAGAATAAGATATCCCTTGTTTTCCGATGAATTCGACATGAGTTTTCTCATCTATTCGTTTTTACAATTCAAAACAAGACAGATATTTACTTTAAAATATGGAAATTCTTCGGATTTAATAATAGTGGTAATTCTTAATAAAAATCCAAATTTTAATTATTTTCTTAAACACTAGGCAATCGAGCTCTCTGGTCTCTGGGTATGGCCTTTTAAAGGCAACTATCAGCTTTGATTGCCAATAATTTTAGTAATTACAGTGAATATAACTAATAATTTTAAAACAAATAAACTTTGTAAATTTATTGATTATGACGACTCCTCTTTTTTAACTAGAGTTTGGAAAAAAATGTTCAATTTTTTTTAGATGATTTAATCTTGGAAGATTTTTTTATGCATGAAAATTTCAAAGAGCTCTCAAAAAAATTTGATCAACATATCTCTCTTCTTCATAAACTCAAACTCTGCTGCATTTAATAAAAAAAGGTATGCGTAATGTTTTTTTCCTTCGTCTTCTATTAATCCTCCTAACCTAAATTAGGAAATACAATAATATACAGATCAAATAAAAAAGATATAATTTCCTTTTAAAAGAAAAATATTTAAGTCTATTGTATTGTAACTAAGGATACTTGGATTTTTTAAAAAAATATACATGATAGAGTTCAAAGAATGTAAATCAAAGAGAATAATATCAAATAATAATTTATTTTTTTCCAAAAAAAACAGAAACAAAAATGAATGAGAAATTATTTTTAAAAGATAAACCTACTATTTTTTAAGTATCATATAGTAAATATATATATATATATATCTTTCTTTCTTTCCTTCCTATATATAAATATAAATCATTAAAAAATATATAGATATAACCATTATTGGTTGATAATTTTTTTTAAAAATTAGTCAATCAGATATATCAATATGGCGGATAAAAAACATATTTATTTATTATTCCAAATATTGAATCACAGAATTTTTTTTCAAAAAAAATTTATATATATTTGAGGTCTATTTCTTTTCCAAATTTTCCCCATCATTTTAATATTTTAAAAATATGGCATCATACTAGGACAAATAATGAATTCCCCAAGGTTAGTAAAATTATATAGTCAAGATGATAAAACTATTTTCAGCTGATAATACAAATACCAAGCTGTTGCTTACCTCTTAGCTCTAACGTTGAAATATTTCTTAAACCTAAAGTGACCTAAATCTATCCAATTTTTTTTTAAATGTCATCTATAAAAACAAACGACCAACGATAATAATATTTTATTAATTACCAACCTATTCCCAGGTGAGTATTTACGCTGGCATACCTAGCTGTGCCCGTGAGATTCTTATCGTCCCTATAAGGGATATGCCTCGTTCTGTCGAAATATTTTTTGGCCAAACCAAAGTCGATCAAATGAACGATGTTCCCCTTTTTCCCAAATCCCATCAAAAAGTTATCGGGTTTAAGGTCTCGGTGGATGAAATGGCGATCGTGCATCGTTTGAACTCTATCAATCTTTTGTCGTTAATTTAATTTGAGATTATTCGTTGGAGCCAGATGGACCACCAAAAACCAGGGTTACCCCTCATTCATAGTTAGCGCGAACGCGTGAATTGTGAATGAGAGGTTACCCTACATTTGTAGTTAGCACAAATTCATAGGGGAGTTTATAAAATATGCTGTATTTTTACTATTCGCCGCGAATACGCGTTATCTATGAATGAGGTGTTATGGGCCCGGTTGCAAGATTCATAAAAACTTGAAATTGTATGGACGTTTTTGCGGGCATGGACCAATTTTTACAACCATTCAAAATAGAGTACATTTGGAACCGCGAGATTTCTATCCCATTTTTGTTATTTTAAACAAAATTACAGCAACACAATTTCTAAATCTTAGAATCTCGCAAAACCGGGTTTAAACCCTTCAGGAAAACGTCCAATACAAATCATAAATAAATTCGTAATCGCATAAAAAAAGAACAATTATTAAAAAAATAGAAAACCAATTGATCAGCCAATAAAAGTACAGTTTTGAGTGAAAATTTTCTTGAGCAATAGTTGAACAAATCTTCCAAGCTGGGCCCCAATAATTCCAAAACCATAACATTGTACTCTCCTTCTTGCCCACACCAAAACAAAGAAGGTATTCCGGCTTCGAGTTTGTTAAATATATTTTAAAAAAATTTTTTATTATACCATCAAAACTGATTTTATTCAAGTTACACACCTATCATTCCAAAAAATATTGTAATAAAAGAATGAGCAGATATCGGCATCGGTAGATTTGTATTTTAACTGATACTATTTAATATTTGTTGTATAACCTAAAAATAATAGTATAGGTTAGAGGTCTGTGATGGATTTTAGCCCGCCCGCTTATGCCCGCCCATACTTCAGGAGGGCAAGGTGGGGTTTTTAAAATATTTTCAATATTGGGCGGGTTAAAAAAATTAATGGGAGGCGTGGGCGCGTGTAATTTTAATATTTTTTAGGTGAAATGAGCAGAAAAGATTTCAATTTATTAAAAATAATAGTTTTATTTCATAATATTGCATATTTATATGTTTAATTAAAAATACATTAAAATAAATAAAGAGCCAACCCAGCCATTATAATTTCTAAACATTAGCGTGCATACGAATAAAACAAAACTAATAGATAAAATATGCAGGCGGGTATTTTTTTTAAAAATTATAAGTAGGCGGGGGGGTGTTAAAAATTTCCAAAACAACGAATGGGCGGGCATTTTGGCTAAAAACCCGTTATTGCAGACCTTTAGTATAGGTATATATCTGATTTTAAAAATTCATACTATAATTTAAGTTTTCTTGATTAATTTTGCTTTGATGGGAACTATAAGATCCTATTCAAAAAATATATTGTACAAAGACACGTATTTTGTATAAGAGGAAAACCTAACCATGGACCTTAAAAATCTAACCAGGTTTAAAATATTTCGGGCCAAGATCGGGGTAAAAAAAATTGAATTACAATAAAACATTATATCTATAGAATATATATAAAGGACAAAAAAAGTTTTATTGAGTTATATCATAATGGCTCAAATTTTCGATGGAAATTATGCTATCATTTATGAAATAGAAAAAGCCTAATAATCCTTGAAAATAAATATTACTTTGATCGTTTAATCGTTCTAACTTAAATATATCAACTTATATTGTTGCAAAGCAGAAATTTCATAAATTTAAGAGGTAAATAGTATATTAATAAATCACTAAATTTTTTAAAAAAAATAATTCAAAACGGTTTAAAAATTATATCCGGGTGGAATTTGAGCGGATTGGACATTATAAGACTTATAAAAAGAATTATGTATATCTTTAGTTGCGAGTAAAAATGGGGAAAAAAATTGAAACATAACATTAAAAAAAATTAAAATTTGACGAATATAAAAAGTATTAAATTATCATTTATTTTAAAAAAGAACTAGGGCTGTGTCGATCCACATATTTTTCACCGATCCATCCGATCCGATATTGGTTGAAAACCGATCTGATACCGATCCGATCCATCCCCCTTTGAACCAAATGTAATTAAGAAATCAATATTTTTTTTGCAAAAAATCGAATTATGCATTTATTTTTTTCATTTCTACAATTAAAAGTTAAGACTATAATTTAAAAAATATTATATTATAATAGATAAAAAAAATATTATAATTATGTAAAATAAATATATACATAACATAAAATAACAAGATCGGATCGGTTTTTACAGGTATCAGCCCGATCCGATATTTTTGGAAAAAGCTAGATATCGATGCCGATCCGATATATAATATCGGCACAGCCCTAAAAAAACTATTAAATATATATATCATAAAAGATTCCAAAATTTCTCTAAATTAAATGATAGATAGAAGAAAAAAAATGATAGAAATTTATCTATATATAAATTAAAAGGATCTTATTTTGACTCTCGTTGATGCCTAAATTTAATAATCAATTTGATACACCATACCTATTTTTAATATTATTTAAAAAATAATATTATGTTATGCAAAAAAATATAAAAATAAGTTTTTAAAGTCTTATTTATAAAATAATCTTAAAAAATAGTTATTTTTGATAGGGGGGATTATCCAACTTAATTTCGTTTTATTTATTGTAGTGGTTTTTTTAAGCTTATCGTTTTCATAATAATATCATTAAAATATATTAAAAAGTTAATGTTTTAATTTTTTAAATTAAGTGATTATTTTTTAGAAATAATTGAAATTATTATTTGAATTCTTAAATAACTTTAAAAATTAAACAGTAAAAGATATTTTATCCTGCTTGAATATCGACATGTAATAAACTGCTAAAAAATTTTTTTTTATAAAGAAGCATTATCTAATAAATTAAACCATATGTTTCGGTATTTTGATTAAAACTCCATGAACTTAGAACTTAAACTTTCTGTAAAATGGTTGGAAGGACTTGTTCCAGAAAAAATGCTTTAATATTTTACCTTAGGCTACGTCTTCACAGGCAATTAAAAAAATTATTAATGCGCGTAAAAGTGCGAATATTTGCAAGACGCTCACGTCTGTCTGTTTATATTAGTTACAGATTTTGCGAAAGTAAAATGCACGAATAATGCCCATTTTTAATTGGCAGCGAAGATATAGGTTTATCGCATAGAAAATATTTATTCATTTTTGATTTATCGAACCCCCTTTTCTAAATCCTTTTAGCTAATAAATAATATTAGTTAAGTTGAAAAAAAATGAACTTATCTATCTAAATGAAATTAAATATATATGTATAAATCAGCTGAAAAAAAGTTTTTAAAATATTTATCTGATCTGTAAAAAAATTAATAATTTGAAGCAAGTTGAACCTGATTTGGGAAGACATAGGGATGCAAATTTATAAAATATTTCTTTTGTGTAATTTTCAGAGTTTGAAAAAAAAAGTCCAAAATTTTGAGCAAAAAATCTTTGAATATCATAAAATTGATATTTTTTAAGAAGATCAAAATCATTTATTGAAAATTTGGGATTTCATCATGAAATATTTAATGATAATATTTCCTCTATTTTTAGTAATTTTTTTAAAAACTTAATTTAAATGCAAATGTTTACTTCTCTAGTATCGATTTTAATTTCAAATTTACTTTAAAAATTTTCTAGAGAGATTTAAGTGAGATTCATAATTTTTAGAAATTTTTTGTTTTAGCGATTTAAAACCTATCTCATATATTTTTATGCAAAAAAAAATCACAAAAGATTAAAGGTAAAATTTGATCAAGTTTGAGTATTCTCAGAAAAATCTTTGAAAAGATTTTTTATTGAAGAGCATTTCAAACTCTGGAAATTTTAGGCTATGTTCTAAACATCAAAAAAATTAATAATTTCGAAACTTTTTATGCTTTATAGAAAAAACGCGAAATAAGAAAAAAACCTTATTAGGAATAAGAAAAAAACCTTATTAGGTTTGGTTTTCTTTAAAGTTTTTAAAATTTTTGAAACAAGTTTTAGGACACAAGCTAATTAAAGATTAATTATATTTTAAAAAAATTAGATTATCTGTACTAGAGGTATGCAATGGGTGGGTTTTAACCCAATATTAAAGCGTTTATGGTCCCAAATATGATTAAAAAAAATTTTTAAAAGGCCTTAAAACGAGATCCCCCCCCCTCCGATGATTAAAATATAAAATAATCTTGGACACTTACTATATAGGTTGACTATAAAGTACCCCCCCCCCCTCCCCATCCGATTCAAAATTTTTACAATGATGCAATGGTATAGAGGCTGATTTAACAATCAGATTGCCTCCAAGTCCTTTGCATATGGTAAATTCATTAGTATTTATCAGAGTTGTTAAAGTATCTAGTCATAAAATATGGTATCAGTGTCTAAATAAATGTTTATAAAATGTATTGGTATATAGATAACTATTTCTCGATGTATCTGTATAAGACATACATTCTGTCTCTTCTAGATTCATTTAAAGAGTTTTAACAACTCTTACGGCTCGTTTTCGCTGATTTTTAAAAATGGCTAATTCAAATTATCCCAATCTCGGAAATTTCGCCCATAAGATGTGGCAGAAAGTTGGAAAAATTTTTTATGGCTTAATTAATAATATTTTGGTGAAATTCTGCTATTCAACAACACTATTTATTAAATAGGATTAAATTATGTTATCTGTGTGACTGCACCGTTACTAAAAACACATTGAGAAAAAACAAAATAAACCTATTTTCACATTTCTTTCTTTCTAAAGATTTTATTTTGAAATTCTAAGATCATCTTAAACATTATTAAAATTTATATTTCAAAATTATAAATACATACTGGATGTGAATATTTGTATTTAACTTCTAATTTAGTTTTTTTTATAGAAAAAATAAAATATATTATTTTTATATATTAACTTGCTCACTAAATTTGGATCTTTGAATGTAAGAAAAAAAAATGATTTGAACACGCGAAAGCTATTTGCACCATATAATAATAATGTGAATGATATTTTATTTAAAAAGGGGGAAAGAAGTCAAATATAAGTGCAAATGAGAAAGACTAGGCATAATAGAACGAACACCACTAACACAATCAATACTTCTATTTCCATTTTGACCAGAAAAAAATTTGAATTTTATTAGATATTTAATAAATGAAGATTGTTGAAAATTATTAAATTTTTAAAAAACAAGTTTGTTGTTTGTTTTTCACGAAAAAAATGATAGAAATAAAAAATTTATAACATCCGACAACTGTAAAAAAAAAAATTGGAAATGAATAAAATAAAATATTAGAAAGAATGATGTACTAATATAAAAATAAAAACAATCTTTCTTCGAATGAAACGATAAAAAAAAGAAGATTTTATTGATTGCGATATAAATGATATAATAAAAATAAAAAATAATTATTTCCTAAACACAAAGTAATTATACCTTAACCCTGTATTGCATGTACTATGTTAGAATAATTTTTTTTTGGCAAACTAGATTTTTTATTTCTCTCGATACTATTGATAATCTCATGGCTCACTTTTTTTAAAAAAATTCTAAATTTCTTAGAAGATGAACGGTATGTGGATTAAAATACACATTATGCAATTAAGGATACAAATTTCAATTTTTCCACAATAATTTTTATTATACTCTAAACTATAAATATATATAATTTTATATAAATACAACAAATATTAAATGTTTGAACATTTTAATTTTCATGAAAATCTATAAAACAATTATTTGTGGGCGTAAAACATAAATATACACCACATTTTTTGCAAGATACTTTTGTAATAAATATGCATCCTGGCATTTTACATCTACCCTTTTTATCATTATATTTGGGCCAGTGAGCTGTGAGGTCTTTCCTAACCTCTTTATTTGGTAAAGATTGGGCTGGTCCTTTTTTACATTTTTCCCGATAACCAGTTTGAACTGATTTTCGTTTTGGAATATTGTTTGAAGTGCATTTGTCATATTTGCAAAAGACTTTCGCCACTGAAATTTTGAAATTGTACAAACTTAATCGATCCTTGCGTGCCGTTTATTATTGTTTTTTTTGAAACAAAAAATCCTCGCCTTTTTTTAAAACTCCTTATCTGTTAAGAAGTTTATATTGAAGTCGATTACCTCTGACCGTGGCCGCGCAAAATATCCCTCTTTGAGCGAGTACGACTAGCAAATTTGGGGAACAAAACCAGTTATCAAAAAATAATTTATAATTAATTTGCTGCGGTATATAAGAAATTAAACGGAGCACAGCATTGCCAATTGCTCCAACATCAGGCAATCCTTCCGCTGCTAGTATTTTCCCAGAATATATTTCAAAATTATACAGAAGGCCATCATCTCCGCATAGTAGAAATACTTTATAGCCCCATTTTTTGGGCTTTTGAGGGTTATTTATATTGTTTCAACCAGCTTATCCCTTTGTATGGAATAATTTGCTCATCTACGCAAATGTTTTCGTTTATCGATAAAGATTTTAGTATGTTATTGGTTAGAGTTATTAGGGGTCTAATTTTATGTAGTGGGTCATGGCCTTCACTTCCAAGTGGAATTCCAAACTATTTTTCTTCTAGTGTTTTCTTTTTCATTATTGATATTTTCTTTTTCTTCCGAATCATCTGTCTCATTGAAATCTATATATTTATAGATTATATAAGAGCATAAATTTTAAATATACCTAAATCATTATTTTCTGTTGATAGAAACTCCTCATCAGACGTTTCACTTAAATTTGATTCTTCATTATCATTAGGTATGCCACCACAATTCATAATTCTAAAAATATAAAACTCAAATCAAATACCTTATTTGCATAATGTGTCTTTAAAACCACGTATGATTATTACAAAATATAATTATCAAAAATAATAAATATATATAAAATAATTTCATAAACATTTATTTTTACCTTTTATTCATCTAATTTTAATGTTTTGAAATTTGTCAAATATATTTTTTTTCCTTTTCCGATGGGTAGAAAATTGAGAAGAAAAATTTTATAAAAAAATAGCCATTTTTAAAAATAGGGTTTATTAAAATGCGAAATTAAAAATAAATAATAGATCACGTGGCCCAAATTAATATTCCAATCGAAGATATAGAATATGGCTTCAAATACACACCATCCAATTGATTTAAAATTTATTTATAAGATATTTATTATACAATTTGTAGTATGTGGAATGAGATACACAGCATGCAATACAGGGTTAAGTGTTCCTATGAAATCTATTAATACAACTAAACCTAACCGAATATAAATCGAATGTATGATTCGTTATTTTCGAATAACTTATTATTCGTTATTTCAATCAAATAAGAATAGTTAATTCTATTATTCGTTTGAATTCGAATAGTTAATTATTGCATTTGTTTTGAGAAATCTATTACGAATAATTCAGTATTTGATTAGTACGTTTTTGAATCTTAATATAAAGGTTTCCGTGTTAAACGTTTAAAAAATTTGTGTTGTTTAGGATAAACGTTTAATCTAAGATCAAAGGCGCCAAAAAGGGCGTATTTTTCGGCCCGTCGACCGATTCATAAATTCATTCGTCATACCACTGGCGCTATGATAATCGCCACTATTTACCAGGGTTGTGATACCCTCTCTCTAAAAAAAGGGTTGGACCGGGTTCAGTAAAAAAAAAACCCTGAAGCGGGTTGTTCAAGATTCGATCATTCAAAATAACAAAAACATCAGTTTGTTTATAAAAATTTATTTTATATATAGTATTCATCAAAAAAAATATATTTTATATTTTAAACAATTGTATTTAAGCGAATGATCATGATATCTGCCAAAATATCATCTGAGTAGTGATGCAAAATCACTCCATTTGTACCTATTTTTAAGGGTGACTTAGTATTTTAGCCAGAAAAATATTTCCTAAGCTTCGAGATTTCGCTAATAGATGTCTAAACCTTTGTGCCATCTATGCGCAAATGTTTCAGGCTTGCGTAATATTATTTGCAGTTTTCATGTTAAAATGGAAATATTATAAGTATAATTTAAATAGTTTATTCATCATAAGATATTAAATATAATGATATGAATATTATTGAGCTTTATATAAAAATATTTCATTTATCAAACTATTATTAAATAAATTTAGAAAGATGATTGATAAAATTTTTATAATTAATTCATCATCTTCATCTTTTTTAATATTGGACTTGATTTTTTTCAGCTTGAAAGGAAAATAATATGATAAATGGTTTTTATATTTTATTTTATCATATAATTTTTAAAGCAAGGTGGCGTTAATAGTGCTATTAAAAAATGTTTTAAATTGGATAAAAAATTATAAACCTTTCAGGAATGGTTTAAAATCGATAGTGCGTTTATTCCACGAGGAAAAAAGTAATTTTTTTTTGAACAACTTGATTTAGAATTAGATAAATAGTTTTGAGTAGTAAAACAATATAACAAAACCTAAACATGAATAAAACGGGGAAATTTTTAAAAAATTTGTTTTGTTGGATAGTAGTGCAATATCAAACCTTTGGGGGTAGTTTGAAAATGGGGTCCAATAAACTTTTACCGAGAAAAATCATTTTAATATAATTTTAAGGTTTGGTTTTTTTTTCTTTTTCCATAGAAAAAATATTTATTATAGTAAATTTGCGATTTCGTGCAGTGGTATCTCAAAGAGAGATTACAAAAAGATATCGGCCTTGGTATTGGTGTACCTCTCCTTAAAGCTAAAACCATTCTAAGAAATTTCCAGATTTTGCACGTTGGTTAAACTGGGTTTTTTTGCAAGAAAACTGACATGTTACCCAGATAAGTATAATAGAGATGGGCACTAAAATTCCTTCCTATTTGTTTAATTTTAATTGTATGAAAATTAAATTTAATATTACATAAAATTTAAAAAAATTAACTTATCTTTTAAAATAGTATATTTAAAAATTGATGAAATAAAACGGCAGACGAGAATATAATTTACAAAACCCAATCGACGACATTAATAAAAATGCGATCTCCAAAACAAGGAGTGCGTTACGTTATTTTAATTAAAAAATATGGCAAAACGCAAACGTTCAAATTGTGTGAACTAATACATTATAGATTTACGAAAGGTAAATAGGTAAATCAGCTTTTTAGATATAAGGTAATACAATGACATATCATATTTACCTACACTTGGTGATTCATTCATTAAAATGGATTTGGAGGCGTAGCTGAATATAAATCAGCTGGTGATACGCTATTTCAGTTTCTCATATAAAAAATTTTATACATAAATGAAGTGAATTTTAATTTTTTTGAAGTTTATGAAAAAAAATTTCAATTTAAATTATTTATATGAGAGACCATTGGCGTGCCATCAGCTGATTTGTATTGATACACATTATAATGAATGAATCGTGAGTCTAAAGGCAAGTATTATATGTCATTAAGGTAATATCAAAAAATTTTAATAATATTTAATATCAATGGTTGATGATATTTTCTTTTATAAAATGCTTCCTAATAACCCCCTTTTCAAAAATTTTATTATAACCCTTTAAAAACAATTAAAGGGGATGGGTATCGTATAATTGTATATAAAGTGTTAATATTGATTTCCGATAATAAATAAATGTCTTATACATAATATTTTGCCAGATTAAATAGCCACGTTGGTTTTACATAATTCAATTTCATATAATCAATTACTTCTTTTGTTGTTTTAAATTATAAATAGACGAAAATACATGCATTTCATGGCAGTGTTGTTAAAAGGGCTCGATTTTTAAAAATGGCTAACCCAATATTTTAGTCAAAAAATATTATGCACGGGAGATTTTGCTAATAGATGGTAGAAATGTTTTGATCGGAAACTTTTAACGAAACCTGGAGGCTTGCGTCTGATTATTTTAGAAAAATCTTTATTTAAAATTGGCGAAATCGTGCCGTCTAACAACTCAGAGTATTAATTATCCGTCTCCATCATTAAACGGATAAAAAACTTACAGAGTTTTATCAGTTTATAATATTTTTGCCGTTAATTTTTTTTATTCCGGGTGCCGAAAAGTACAAAGTTGATAAGTTATTTTTCCAACGGATTAGTAGGGCTAAAATTTTTTTTAATTTAAATATCGTATCGATATTTACAGTTTTTAAAATTAATCGAATGGGGTCTATACTTTTTTAGTTTTTTTATGCTTACATAAAATTATAGTATTTTTAAAAGGCTCGATTTATCCGATGTAGATTTTAGTAAAAATAATATTATGCAGGCCTCTAGATTTCGTTAATGTCCAAACCCGTCCGCCAACTTTAGGCATAATCTTGAGATTCGCATAATATTTTTGGATAAAATAAGGGCCAGCCGTTTTTTTTTAAAAATCGAGCTGTTTTTTTTCATTTATAATATATAATTTCCCAAATAATTAAAGAAATGAACAAATATTCAATTTATTTATAAATTGAAAAATTTTATTATAAAAAAAAATTGAAATTATATTTCTTAATAAGTAACTAAAAATTAGATATTATTTTTTTGTTTTGTTTTTGCAGCAAAAAATGATTTTAAAATATTTTAAAGAATCAGATAATTCGCTATAAACTTTAATATGAGGTGATTAACTTTTGGGGAATAAAGAAACAAAATACACTTTCGTGATAATGCACCAAATCGCCTTGGCCGTGAGAAATGGGATATTTCAAGGTGTTTCTTGTTTGGCCATAGTTCTTAGTTAGAAATTTTTTTGCATAGAAACTATTTTAGATAGGCGAAATATTTGTGGATCGGGACAGAACTATTGATTATCAATCATTATTAACCCCACGAACCCTCCCACTAAGTTATAATGGATAGTTGGGTGGGGCAATAGAAATGGTTGAAGTAAATAAGATTATATACATTAAATAATATCCAATACCTATAAATAAAAAGTCAACAAATTATTTGTTAATTAGATTAATCTCGTTTTTTTCTATACCAAAATTATATCGCGAAGGTATTCTTATTTATACCGGTTCAAGGTGGATTTGAGCAGCTAAAACCAAGTTAACTGGGAACTATCATCTCATTCTTAAGGTATTATATTAAAAGATTATTTAAACATCAGGAAAGCCAAAAAAAAATTATCCGTGCCTCAAGGCTCTTTCCAACATACAGAATTACAAAAAAATTGGTCTATATCCCCAATACTAGGATTTCATCAAAATAATTTAATGGAAGAGAGCTAGTTAGATTTAAGAAGAGTTGAGACAGGGTTATATATACTTTTTTAAATAGTGTTCAATTGGAAATCATATAAATCACGTGATTGTCACATTTTTTTTTTAAATGAACCATTTGAAATAAGAAAGTTTTTTTTTAAAAAAAATAAGTTAAAAATCAAATAAATCAATTTTGAAGTTGCGTCATATATAATTTATTTTTTAACCATGTATAAATTATTATTGTAATATTGATAAAGGTCATTTTTCAAATAATTATGTGTTTTTAAAAAAGTTATGTAACATGTAATTTAAAAATAAATTACTATACCAATAATACTTATATTTGTATAGTTAGTTTTTTAGAGCAAAAATTATCCATGCAGAAGTTTATTATTCTTTGAAATCAATGTTAATTTGAAAATTATTCAGCACTCTTTTATAATTGGGTATGAATGAATATTGGTAATATAACTAAATAATCAGTAATTAAAAATGGCATCATAAGAATTTAAATAATTGACAATAGAAATATTAAATAGATATAAGGCTAAAATTTTGCTATTCATATAATATAAAAATAAAATATGTAATCAAGATGAGATTAGAATGATTTTATATACCCTTCTTAAATATTGACATTAACATCTAATATTCCTAATTGTTAGACAAATGATTAATCATTTAAAAATTTTTTAATATAAACATGAAATAAAAGACAAAATAACTTAATTTTAATAACATCATAATTTATATAATAAATAAATGCAGAGGACTATAAAGAAACCAATAATAAAAAATTGGACCAGAAATTGAAGACATTTAAAACAGGGAATGTAAAACAGGTTCTAAATGCAAAAAATTGGAAATGGTAAATTTTAAGATTTTTTGAACCAAAAATTCAAAATTAATGAAATCAATCTATATATAAAAAGAAGAGACTATCATAAGATTATCCTAACATTATTTAGTAATGCAAGACTTTTATAAGCTCTAAATAAATGGTTGGGTTATATAATTTATTGAAAAAATAAAGCTCAATAAAAAAAAGGGGGGGAGATGAATATATGAAACTAGAGATCTGCACAGACTGACTTGATTAAAATAATTTAAATGTATGAACTTATTTCTTCGAAATTTTTTTTATAGGCACATAATACCAAACTTTTTATAGGCAGACCAGGTTGAAAAACTTTTATAGTTTTAATAGGTCAGTTCTCTAATATATAAGTATGAAAAAAAACTATTAATTTGGTATATAAAAATATATACTGTGCCTTAAAATAATAGGAAACAATAGAAATTTAAACATAAATAAATATTTTTTAGATCAATATTTTATTAAAATTTAATAAGATCAAAAATATTCATTACAAATTTATAAGTTGTAAAAATAGGCTCTGGTTATATTAATAAATCAATTACTTATAAATAAATAAAATTATTTAATTTATATGTAATTCCAAAAATTATATAGCACATATAATAGAATTTTTAAAACTTGCTCCTCTCATATAACGATAAAATTTGCTTTCAATATGAAGTTGTGGATGTTTGCTTGCAGTATGTTCTAATTTGATGGCAACCTCTTGATTTGTATAAACCTCTGTGCCTTTAAATTAATCTAATATTTAATAATACAACTTTGATATTCAACCTAAATATATATCGCCAAATGAGCCACTACCAATTTTTCGTCCTAAACGATATTGCTCTCCTACTATTAATTCCATTTTCAAATTGAAGGTTGATTATATTTAACAAAACGCATTCTGAATTAAAATTATAATAAATGCTATAAATTTTTTTATATTGGGTCAGTTTTTCAATCTCTATCGAATAAAATTGGATATCATAATAGGTCATGTGTTGTGAACAATGACATAATGACAGCTAGCTGTCAGCATAAGTATTATATATATATATGCTTATACGATTACACCTTAAAATTAATAATTAGGTTTTAGCAACATGACTCAGAGGTAAACAAAACAAACTCAATGTGGTAATATGGCAGGTTTGGCACAAGCCTTGCTCAATTCCCTGAAATAGAACTACTCTTACAGTTAGTTTAGAAATAAAAGAGGGACATGTGCCAGAGTGGTAATTTTATATTTTAAAAATAGGATCATTTATAACTTTTTAACACTTATATTTTCCATGCCGCTTCTTATTTTAAAACAAGAAATCAATATCCATATTTAATATAATTATGATTTGCTAATTTTGAATATTTTTAAAAGGTTAACTCAGTGATATCAGAACTTCACGTTTTATTCGTATAATCATATTATGTATATTATTGATACTAGTGGCCCGATAGATATTAACCAAAATAATATTATATAAGAATCGAGATTAGGTAAATAGCGGTCTAAAATATTCTTCCATCTATGAGAAAAATTTCCAGCCCTACTTAATATTATTTTGGCTAAAATCTTAATTGAGCCATTTTTACTAAAAGACCTAAATCGAAACACTTATAAACATTAATTAATACAAGACAAGATAATTTTAAAATTTAAATACCTGCTCTACCATTGTCCCCTGGAAGAGGGGGGAATTTCTAACTTGGGATTTCTCATGCATTGATCTTCTGGCCTCTAATATAAATAGGGATGCTCTACTAAACGCCTAAACTAATAAGCTAGCTAAATATTCGCCATGACTTCCTGGCAACTATACATTCCTACCACTATCGCCACGACTCTAATATCGTTCAGCTCTCATGTCTAGACCTTCTTTAAAGAGCTGGAAAAACGGATCTCTGCTAGGACATAATATCCCAGCAAGAGATTCTACCTACGTCAATGGTTAGCCCTAAACATAGTAAAATGCAACTATCTCCGCTTTATACTCTCAATGATAGAAACCCCCTAATTAAACATCCTATGCATAGGATAGACTTAGGCTATTTTGCTCCCAATTATAACGTTGAGGCTAAGAGGGAATTTAGATCTCAATCAATAGAAGACGGCAAAAATTAATGACTTTATATAATTGTGATTTACTAATTATTTTTCTTTTCCAATAATTGCGAAAATTATAAATTCTATAATCATTTTTGACTTCATACTAAGCTTTACTATATAAAATTAATTAATAATTCTAACTAATTAAAGAAAATAATTAAACTATAAAAAAATAATAATAAATAATAAATAATAAATTACGCTTTTAAATATATTTTTTAAAGTCTTTCAAGAATCATCAAATGAATTAATAAAAGATTTTCATAAACGTGTTTTAAAAATTAAAAAATATATATAAGTGTATCACCACTAATAGCAATACATTTAATTTATAATCTTTATTTCAAGTCAATTTCTATTCGCCAATAATATAATGCTGTTGAGAATAAGTTGGTGATTAGAGAGTAGATTCATCTTAATAATTATTTATAAGATTTGTTTAATAAAACCTAATCCATATCTTTCAAACCTTTAATTAACCACGCCATTTAATCCTACTTCTTATCCTTACCTCAGTAATCATATGTTTTAATTTGAAATATATTTTTGTTAAATAAAAAATTTCCTTTAGACCAACTTGAGTTGAGAAGGCATTATTATATTATCGAGAATGATTGAGAATGTTTGAAATATTAGACAAATATAATATATATCATTTTAATAAATTACTATTGTTTATAGTGCTTAAAACATGAGCAGAGGCGTTTAGTGTTGTGTTTACTAGGAAACGCTTTGCTATTTAAATTGAATCAGCATTTTTTTAAATGTGAAAAACACAAACTACCTTTTTAACGCGTAAAAATATTATTTTTAAAGCAAAAAAAAATGTTTTTTAAATTATATGTTACAATTATTACATTATTTGAAATAAAACCCAAATAACGATAACGAACAACATAATTTGTAAGAAATTATGTTTCATTTCTTAATTTTTAAATATAATAGTTATTGCTCTACCTTTTTTGAAAATTATTTTGAGATGTAGCGCGGTACTTTTGAGAGTAGCGTTTAACAACACTGAATTTAATTATTTGTTATAAACATAAATCTAGAAAACTCATTACGGGAATAGGTAATATATAAATAAAAAATTTCATTTTGATTATATATTTTTGGGGATTTTGAATAACGTTTTTATAATTTAGTTAATTATTTTTAAAACCGTATCATGGGGCTCAACAAAAAAAATTATAGGAGGGGGAAGCCCCCTATACATTCTATTATGAATAAATATAATTTTTTAATTGAAATTTACTAACTTTGAACAATTATTCTGAATTTCATATTTTCCCATTTATTATGCAAATAAATATTGAAAGTAAAACAATACAAGACATTTGTAAGATAAAATTTTTAATACAAAATATTTTTCCATTTATTACAACTTTAAATAATTTTGATTGCGGATATAAAAGTAATTTGCGTCTAAAGAATTACAAGTGATAAAAAAAAAGTTTATTAATTCATACACTGCCTCAATTGATAATGGGTAACCACATGATAATATAATTCTTATCATAAAACTAATATAACGTTGTGTTACCATTTTTAGCAATGTTTTACTGAATAGACTAATAAGGAAAAATTTTTAGGTCTAACCAAATCAATAATTCTTGAAGAAGAGAATTTAAACGATTAATCCAAATCATAAAACTATATGGTAGTTAGAGCTTCCTCTTGGATCACATTATGAAAGCTAGATAAGCAAGAAAATTATTGAGAGATATTGAATTTCTAAAAGATTATCTTCTATTTTTAATGATATATAAAGGACTAAACAGTTGACCATTATTGCTCATCTAAATTATGCAATCAAATGAACTCAGCAGCAGGAGTAATAATCTTAAATTACCTAGCCACACAGATAATAGATGCTGATTAATTTCCAGTCATAGCCATGACACTCACAATGTAAACTCATATCAGAAATTATAAATTGATAAAACAAAAATACTAAAAATCTTTAGAAGAAATAATTATGCAAATATATTGAAGTCTTGAGTTATTTGCATGGTAGGATGCCATATTAGAAATGAATCATTTACTAACTAGAAAATAAGGACCAGAATGATATGATGAAAGCAATTATTTTATATATTATTGTAGCATCACCTATGGTTTGTAATAATATTAAAATATTAATGTTTAGAAAATTTAACTTAAACTGTTTTTCAAAGAAGAAAAAAAATAACTTTCCTAAAAACACGTAAAAAAGATAAGATAAGATTTTAATTTATTACATCCATTGTGGGATGAATAATAAGATGTTTAATTTTTAATAAATAGATGGCATTAAAGAATTGGAATGCAAATTGTTATATATTTATTATCAAAAGCATTTATTAGTAAAATTTATTAAAATATTAACTGTAATATATTATATAACTGTCAAATACGTCTGTAGTGGCATTTTAAACAATTATATATAATAGAAGATTATAAACTATATGCTTACTTACTTTTTATAAAGAAATCTCTTATACATATTTGGACCTTGAAAATATTATTAGGAAGAGGCATGGTAATTAATTTTAAAAATACAGTTGATTCGTGATTTTGAAAATTTGAACTCGGCTAATTATACAATATTAAATTTGTTAATTTACAATTAATAAATGATTATATTTATTTAATTAGGGTTATGTAATAATTTAAATAATAAACAATTAAGCTTCAACTGTCATGCTAAATTAATATTTAGTGAGTGATATTGATTTTCTATTTATAACAGAATTTGATTGCAAGCTGACATAGTGAAAATATAATTTATATGTAATAATCTAATCAAATAATTAAAATAGTATTCTTTTAATAAAAATTTAGATAGTCTTATTAATTTTTAAATAAAAAATTAAATCTATATATTACGTGATAGAATTATAAAAGAAATAGTTCAGGTAGCAATCAATAAAATTTATTTTTAGTTCAAGGTAAGGAGCCATTAAAAAAAATATTTTTGCTTCAAGGGGATATTCAAATTTTTCAGGGGGCCGGAGCCCTGCGCCCACCCCCTTAGTGACGCTACTGATTATAAGTATATATTTATCCATTTGATTTAATTTTATATAAAAAAAATTAAATAACTAGATGATACAATAAATAAATACATATGAACAAAAATTATAATTCTTATTTTAATCATTTACATTTAGTTTTTATTGATATCTAAAATTATTGCAGACATATCAAGGTAATTGCACCATTAATAGAAAGTATTTATATAAAGGAATTATTAAGAAAATAAATCTATTAAAAAAAGACATAAATGCTCTCTAAAAATCAATATAGTTAAAGTTAAATTATAAACTGCACAAATAATACCTTATATTTTTGAATAAAATAGCAAACCAATTGCAAAATATTTCTACTTTGAAAATTAACTAAACTCTTGAATCTCTTTTTCAGCTGAATAATTACAACCCGTATGTGCCTAAAAAATTAATAGAAAAAAAGAGATTAAATTAGTTCTTATTTATTATGTTAATGGGCGCGATTTACTAGGGATCTCTAATAAAACCCATGGATGTAAGCAACTTAAATTATCTAAAGATTCAATTAATAAATTACTCTGATTATTAAAACCTTTTCATGTATTATAATTAAAATTGGAAACCAAATATAATCATATTGAATTTAAACATACACTGCTCAGAGAATTGAGAGAGTTAACCAACAAAAAATTTAAAATAAATCTTTTTTTAAACATTAATGGACACCGGGAATTTTATAAGCCTGGGATTTTTATGAACTCCAGAATTTTCATCTATACCTAACTTGTGAGTTATTTATTTTTTTTTACCCAAAATGTATAATTATATTATTCAAATATTCAATATTTGATCCCATATAAAATAATTTATAACTCAAT